CGTTGGGCTTTGTTGTCGACAAAATGGAATCCTTGCTTCCGTCTTCGCTTTTGCAACAATTGTCTCGCATTTAAACAATATATTTATTCCGACATTTAATGCAAATAAATAATGAAAGCAAACAATGAAAGCATTTCTATCTCTGTTTGCGCGCGAACGACAGGAAGATCTGCTCGAAGGTCGTATCGGAAATGACGTAATCCTCGAAACAGAACTCGGCTTTCATTCGTTCCATAATTGCGAACATTTGCGACCATTTGGTGGACGCGTCGGTGATGTGGTAATGGAGGAGACATTGGTGCGCGTCCTTCAGCAGCGCCGACGGCAACCGCTCGTGAAATCGCAGTTGAATTTCGCGCATGTATTGCGGGTCGTCAGCTGTTTTGCAAATCCATCAATACTTGTCTCAAACAATGAGCGAATGCTTACCGAACTCGCGCTTCAGTTTGGCCATCACTGTGAATCCCTGTCCGAACTTTGACCGCAAGTGCTGCACCGATCCCAAGCACTGGAACTGGCCGTTGACCATGATGGCCACTCGCGCGCACAGAGCCTCGCACTCTTCCATCGAGTGTGACGTCAGAATGAAAGCCGATCCGTACTTCTCCTGCAGAGACGACAGCGTCGCCCAAATCTTCCTCCTGGCCGACGGGTCCACTCCCGACGTGGGCTCGTCTGCGGAGAGAATGAGTTAATGACACATCAGACGCAGTACAGTCACACTCACCCAAGAAGATGACGGGCGGCGCGGCGCACAACGCGATGGCGAGCGAGAGTTTGCGTTTGTTGCCGCCGCTGTATTGTTGCGTGCATTTGTTCACGTGTTGTTGCAAATCCACCATTTCCACCAAATCCCGCACATAATTGCCAATCGCGCGCTCTTTCATTCCCCGCAACCGACAGAACATGTAAAGCGTCTCTTTTCCCGTCATTTTGGACAACAGAGCGTCGAATTGCGGACAATAGCCGATTCTCTTCTGGAACTCTTTCAACTCCTGTCTTAAAGACAAGCCGTCGATCCACGCGTTTCCCGCCGACAGCGTCTCGTCGCCCGTCAACATGCGGAAGGTTGTGGTCTTTCCCGCGCCGTTCACTCCCAACAGTCCGAAACACTCTTCTTTGCGGACGGAAAACGACAACTGATTATCCACGCGTTTCCCGCCGACAGCGTCTCGTCGCCCGTCAACATGCGGAAGGTTGTGGTCTTTCCCGCGCCGTTCACTCCCAACAGTCCGAAACACTCTTCTTTGCGGACGGAAAACGACAACTGATTGACGGCTCGAAAAGGAATCAGTTTTCCGAAACTTTTGCTCAACTCTTTCACAACAATCGCGTCTTTCGTTAAGAGCGAGAAGTTGTTCGTCAAATCGACGACTCGTCGCCTCTCGTCGCTGACGTCACGGTCTTCAGCAATATTCTCGTTATTCATCGCGAGAATCGTTGAATTGTTTTGAATTTTGGGTTTCTTTCGATATTTTTCGAAAGCGTAAAGAATTTTCTCGAAATTTCCTTCAATTAACCAAAGAATGAGAAGAAAGAAGATTCCGGAACCGATCAGGAAAAGGAACTCCACGGCCACGCCTGCGGAGAGAACACTGTATTAGAATAGCGACAATGAGAGCACTGTTTATGCCTTTCTCGTCGAAGCGAAGAGCGTTCAACTGGTCATAACACTCTCCTCTGTGACGACACAGTTTGTCGCAACAGCCGTAAAACGGATCGTCGGTTCTGAGCGTCGGAATGCAGACTTTGAGAAGCGTTTCTTTCGCCGAATCCAAACACGCCTTCTGATAGGAACCGACTTTATAGAGCTTTTGAATCCCGAAACTCATGGAAAAGACGGGCAAAACGCGCGCAGTCATGACCAGCGCGTCCAACGTGTCGCGTGACATCACGTCAGAGCCCGAGAGCAGCATCAGGTCGAGAATGCCGAACGTGAGCACCAGAACGAGACCCGTCAGCAGCAGAATAATGACGAGAGTGGCGTAACCCGTGGACGGGAGGGAGAGGCGCAGCGAAAAGAGATACGCCAACGGAATGGCCGCAACGCCGAACAGGAAGAACATGAGGAAGAGTCCCAAACCGTTGCTCACTGCGAGGGAAAGGCATTGTTATTGTTATATTATGTTATCGCTTGAATACCTGTTCCGATGAACACTTTGTTTGAGTCGAAGATCGCGAAAATGACGAACAAAAAGACGGAAGCGATGAAATGGTTGAAGAGATCGAAGCAGAAACTCGCGGCCCAAAACGTGGCCGAAGAGATGCCAGTCATTAGTTGCAAGAGTTTTGAGTTGGAAACTCTCTCGTGAATCGGGAACAGGACGTAAGAGGCGCCGATTAAGGGAACGGTGAGCGGAACGAGCAACAAACACGAGACAATGAGTGTCACTCTGACCATCATTATGGCGGTGTTGGTCTGATCGGTGGCGATCGGGTGGTTGTGCATCTCTATCGTGGGGTTGTCTTTCGGGAACAGTTGGTGAAGAATGGATTCGTACAACAGGTTTATGGAAACGGGAAGCGAATGCACGCCTTCTTTGTTATACCACGGAACCAACGAAAGCGACTCTTCGGTTCCGTTGATTTGCGCGCCGACCAGAAAAGTGGTCAAATATCTGCCGATATCGTTGTCCAGCCGTTGATCACTGAGAGTCCAATCGTTGGGATTCTCTGCGAACAGAAAGCGTCAGAAAGTTGAGAGTTTTGTCGCAAAATACCGTTAATAGGAGTGATGAAAACGTCTCGCGATTTCGCAGTTTCAACATAAGAGGCGAAAAGCGAAGGAATTTCTCGATTCACGAATCCTTTCGTCTTTTCGTACATTTTGAGCTCCAAATTCAAATCTCGCGTTTCTGTCACCAAATTGTTCTTAATCGACTGATCCAGAAGAAGAATGCACATGAAGAGAATGCCGGGAACCACCGATTGCAACAACACCATCGGCCAATACCTCTTCGCGTAATGAAAGCGCTTCAACAACAAGGCGTAAAAGTGCTGAAACCAAAGCGAAAATCCCATGTTTTTCTCCATTTCATTCATTAGGAGAGCTTTCGGATCGACGAAAGCGTGGTTTTCGTCGCAATTCTCGTCCAACTCTGCGCCCACTCTGAGGAACACGTCTTCCATTGTGGTCACTGTGAGTCCACACGTGTTGATATTGAGCTCCGCTTTCCTGTTCTCCAATTCGGTGAACAATTGGACCAAAAAAGCGCTCGAATTCTCTTTCCTTTCTTCGCTTTCCAACGAATAAATGATTTCCGAATGGATTTCGGACTTTATTTTCGCGCTTTTCATGTGTTTTTGAATCACTTGTAAAACGCTTTTCGCATCGAATTTCGAGTCCTTCGCGATTCTCACGTGATATCCGGCGCCAAACACTCGCTTCAAGAACATCGGACTTCCGCAACACTTCACGAGCCCTGAACTCATTATCGCGATTCTGTCGCCCAATTGCTAACAAACAAAACAACTCAATCAATACAAGCGAACGCACGTCACGTGACACTCACGTCCGCCTCTTCCATGTAATGAGTGGTCAACAGAATAGTTCTCTCCGAACGGATGTTCTGCAGAACGTCCCAAATATGGCGTCTGGCCTCGGGATCCATTCCGCTCGTCGGCTCGTCCAGAATGAGGATCTGCGAGTTGGCCACCATTGCCACTCCCAGACACAGCTTCCGCTTCATTCCGCCCGACAGTTGTGCGGCCAACGCGTCCCTCTTGTCGGCCAACGAAATCACTTCCATCGTTGCCGTCACTTCTCGCTCCACGTCTTCCATCGCGTGGTCTTTGAGAACGGCGTAGAGTTTCAAGTGTTCAAACACCGAGAGCTCGTTGTAAACAATGTTGTCCTGAAAACACGATTAGTTTCAAATTCAAACAATCGCTCGCAACAAACCTGTGGACACAAAGCCATACTTCTTCGCGCGCTCTTCGTCTCCGTCCGGATGTTGTAGCCGTCGATGAAAGCGCTGCCGTGAGTGGGCGGGAATATGCCGGTAATCATGTTCATTGTGGTCGTCTTTCCCGCGCCGTTGTGTCCCAAGAGAACAGTGATCTGTCCTCTCATTATGTTCAGCGAGACGTCATTTACGGCCACTTTTTTGTTGAACACTTTCCGCAAATGATTGCAACGAATTCCCACTTTTCCCGTTTGCGGCTCTTTTTCAAAGTGTTTCGGGTCTTCGTTCGCGTCTTTCCATTCCTCTTCCGAAGAGCTCTTATTCGGGAACCAATAAGAGGCGAGAAAAGGGTAATAAACGGGTTTCGGAATTCCGAACTGAAACGGCCACACATTGTCCACATACCAGATGAGGAACGCTGAAACACGTGATTATTATTTTGTTAATAATTATCTGTTATTAATTACCGTAAAAGAAAATGGACGCGAATTGCATGGTCATCACGAAACCGACACTCAAATGTCCAAAGTTGGGAACTTCTTGCCAAAGAGTGTCCCATTGGACTCCGTAGCCATTGCTCTCGCATTTGTTTATCAGCGCGAAGATCCAGGCCATCGCCGAGTTGGGCAGCAGACACGTGATCACTCGCCACGGATGGGTGGCGTCGATGTCGATGTTGGGGTTGAACGTGGGGTCCAAGAGGTTCATGGGAACCGATTGCGAGAGCATGAAGAGCAGCACAGAGACCACGACCGCAATGATGGGCCGATTGAAGACTGTGGTCAACAGCATTGAGGACAGGATTGACGACACGTTGAACAGAAGCAAAGCGAAAAAGAAGATAAAGCCGTTGGAATACAAGACGTAAGGCAAACGCCCGAAACCGTAGACATAGAGAAGAGCGCTGACAATGCTTTGCGCGAACATTACGGTGAAAAAGTTGATGAAATGCGAGCCCCAAAACACCCAATCAGACATTCCCATCATTCGCAGCATTTCCTTGGCTTTGGCCACTTTTTCGTCGGTAATTCTCTTCACAATCAGCGGACAAATGATGACATAACCCGTGATTATCATCATTCCCGCCATTTGCACACCACTCACCGCTCCTAAAGACACAGTCACGTGATTATCGCCGAAACACAAACCGCTAACTACTGACCGGTGGAAGAGATGTCCAGATATTTGGGATAAGGGATGCGTTGAGGCGTCACTCGACTCACTTTCAACGCGCGCTCACTTCCCGCCGCTCTGGCCTTTCGGTCGACGAAGAGTTCGTTGAGCGCTATTTGGACGCGAGAAAAGCCGCCCTCGTATGTGATGTCGTCGGCCGACGGTTTGGTCGCCATATCGTCGGCGAAACGGCGTTTCACTAAACGCACGAAATCGTCGTTTTTCGACCGAATCGTAACTCTTAAGTGGTTTTCGTCGCAATTCTCGAGGAAAACAATTCCGAACTCAAACATCGCTCTTTCGCCCGAAAATAGTTTGGCAGACATTTCGTCCGAAGTGTCAAAAGAGGACACATTCACGAACTTCTCGTGTTTTGCGGCAAATTCTCGCATAAAATCGATGGAAAACGTGGTTTTGGGCGTAAAGTAAATGGAATACGGAATCGAAGAGTTGAATATGAGTTGAGTGTCGAACGCGAGTCCCGGAGCGAACAGCACCGGACCCTTCATTCCCACCTCATTCGCGATGGACTGGCCTTCCGTCGCGTTATAGCGAACCCAAGCCATGATTAACGTGAGAGCGATGGGAAAGAGGAACTCGAAAATGGCGGAAATCCAATGTCTTTTCCTCACAATCCATGATTTCCAGAGAAGAATAAATAGTTGTTTCAATACTAGAGAAGCCATAATAACGACGACTGAATTGTTTCAAACATTTTACTGACATTTATATAACTTTTATTGTAATCTCGTTTGAGATAAGAATTCAAGTATTGTTCGCGAAATGCAATAAAATTCTTTCTCTCGAAACGTGTTTTTCTTTTCATTTATTTTGCGTCAAAAGTCTAATTGTGCCGAAAACCCGATTTTAATGTTAAACCCGATTCGAGACAAGGATTGCATCGGAATCGGGATTTGTGACGAAATACGTGTTTCTAAACAATCAATAATTCAATGATTTCCTAATTGTATTTTGTCGTCATTTAAACCTGTTGTTATAGTTTAGTGCAAAACGAGTTCGTTATCAATAAATTCATGTGACTTTTTGTGGAAATATTTTTGCAATAAATGTATAATAATTGTGATTTTGAACAATAAAAGTACACAAGAATTAATATGAATGGACTAATGATGCATAGAATGAGTGCATTCAGTTTTATGAGTGCAATGCATAGACATATTCGCACATTTGATAAATAGATTATAGAAGAGATTAAAGCATTCAATTAATAGCGAAGTATGAATATTCTAGTGATTGCTTCGAAATCCGCAAAACATTAAATCTCATATTTGTTGTCACTATTGGTAACGACAAGTAATTTATTGAATTCCTGACGAAACGCCTCTTCATTTACTATAACACTGTTTTGTGATTCAAATCGATTGAATATTTATTTCACTATTGAGTTGACATTTCTGTACTTTATACATTATTCTGTATTCTCATTATTATAAGCTACAGGTAGTAAACCTTGTTAATCCATAGACGTGATTTTTTGTTTGATCTTGGTAATTTTTAGACATTACTCACTATAAACGTTACTTTATTTAATCAAATCGTATGCCCTTTACTAAACAATATATGACGCACACCTTATATGACTGATATGTGAAGTGCAGGTATAATAGCTATATAGAAACATCAAGCACAACACACTCCGTGCACGCGGCGTGCACTCTACCAATTCTATGATTATAAGTGTCACAAAACGCGCATGGTGCGGCATTTATTGTTATCAAATACTGAATCTCAACGGATTCGAGTGATTCATATGAGTTCGGCCGCAATGACCACATGTATCGGGAAAACGTGAACAGCAAATGTTGTATTTTACGAATAAGGGTAGAGTAGGGTATAGTAGGACATAAATGTATGAATGGAAAGGAGTGAATGAGAGGAATGCAATTCTGATGGAACTTTGAAATTCTGACGTCAATTAAGTTACGCAACAAATAAGTAATTTTGTAACAATTGTAACGTTTTATATAATGAGTCATTATTCATGACAAATAATAATTAATGTCAATTTTAGTGGCTTTTAACACTAAATTCTCAAATAAAAATCTACAAAATTTTTATAAAAATACTTGTAACAATTATTGTTGGCATTTTCCACAAAATCACACTTTTCTGCAATCTAAATATTAAACCCCATATTTATTAAAACTACATTTTAGTAACTTTTTCAAAACCAACTAATGATTAATCATTTTTATGTTTACAATGTTTTGTAAAACAATTTCGGAATTTGAAAACTATTAGTATTTTAATACATTTTTAATAATTATTCCAACATTTTCAAATGCAATTAACATTCGGACAAAGGTTTGCATTTTCCCGTCTTTGTGTCCAACACTTGTCCACCACTACAGACCAGATAACAGTTGGGATTACACCAGAAAGTGCTGCACGTCGGAGGTTTGGGGCGTTCACATGTTGCCGGACACGGATTCTGACAAACACACTCTTTCCCTTCCAAACACACCTTTCCTTCGCATCCTTTGTGTTAAATAATTATCAAAACTCTGAACATTAGTCACAAAAATACCTTTCAATGTATTATTTCCGCAGTTTATGCCATAAATGAAGACAAATAGAAAGACGAACGCAAAAATGGTTTTCATTTTTATTAGAAATGAATGCAAATATAATGTTTCGTTTAAATATCAGTTTTCAGTAAAAAGCAATTTATTGCGTATTTATTCACCTGTTTTTCAACAAAAACTGGTTTTCATTACAACAATATCTTATTTACAATTTTCACTTCTTCTTCGTGTAGTCATACCATCCCTTCCCCGTCTTGCGCCCCAGTTTGCCCTCCGACACCATTTTGTTCACTAATTCAGATCTCTGCACATTGAGCGTCGGGTCATTCATGGCGAGCCACGACTCGACCACAAACTTGCCGGTGTCCAGACCCGTCATGTCCATCAACTCGAACGGTCCCATCGGATACCCGGCGCCCAACTTCATGGCGATGTCGATGTCCTCGAACGTGGCGTCGCCCCTCTCCACCATTCGCACCGCTTCTCCCGAATACGGAATCAACAGACGGTTCACAATGAATCCGGGCGTGTCTTTGCAGAGGACGCCCACTTTGCCGATGTCCGCCACAAACTCCTTCAACGCGTCCACAGTTTGTTGACTTGTGGTCACGTTTTTGATGATCTCAACCAATTTCATGAGCGGAACCGGATTGAAGAAATGCAACCCTCCGTAGCGCTCCTGTGGACCCACTTTGACGCCAATCTCTTGCACCGACAGAGACGACGTGTTGGTCACGAATATCACCGAATCGTTGCCTTTGAATTGTTCGTTGAGAGCGGCGAAGATCTTCCGCTTGACGTCCAGGAGTTCGGGAACCGCTTCAATGATGAGAAGGTTTTCGTCGGATTTCGGTTCGGTTTTTGTCGAAAAGTTGATAGAATTGAGAGTTTTGTCGACGCTTTCGATTTGAATCGCTTTCTTTTGATGCAATTTCTCGACACTCTTTTGAATGGCTTTTCGCGCGATTTCCAGTTGTTTTTCGTTCACGTCTTGTAAAGTGATTGAATTGAAT